TTTATAACATTGCTGGAAGCTTGGTTTATAACATGGTGGTGGCTTGGTTTATAACATGGTGGTGGCTTGGTTTATAACATTGCTGGAGGCTTGGTTTACAACATGGTGGTGGCTTGGTTTATAACATTGCTGGAGGCTTGGTTTACAACATGGTGGTGGCTTGGTTTATAACATGGTGCTGGAGGCTTGGTTTACAACATGGTGGTGGCTTGGTTTATAACATGGTGGTGGCTTGGTTTACAACATGGTGGTGGCTTGGTTTACAACATGGTGGTGGCTTGGTTTACAACATGGTGGTGGCTTGGTTTATAACATGGCTGGAGGCTTGGTTTACAACATGGTGGTGGCTTGGTTTATAACATGGTGGTGGCTGGTTTAGGCTTGGTTTACAACATGGTGGTGGCTTGGTTTATAACATTGGTTGCTGGAGGCTTGGTTTACAACATGGTGGTGGCTTGGTTTATAACATGACTGGTGGCTTGGTTTATAACATTGCTGGAAGCTTGGTTTATAACATGGTGGTGGCTTGGTTTATAACATGGTGGTGGCTTGGTTTACAACATGGTGGTGGCTTGGTTTACAACATGGTGGTGGCTTGGTTTACAACATGGTGGTGGCTTGGTTTACAACATGGTGGTGGCTTGGTTTACAACATGGTGGTGGCTTGGTTTACAACATGGTGGATGGCTTGGTTTACAACATGGTGGTGGCTTGGTTTACAACATGGTGGTGGCTTGGTTTACAACATGGTGGTGGCTTGGTTTACAACATGGTGGTGGCTTGGTTTACAACATGGTGGTGGCTTGGTTTACAACATGGTGGAGGCTTGGTTTACAACATGGTGGTGGCTTGGTTTACAACATGGTGGTGGCTTGGTTTACAACATGGTGGTGGCTTGGTTTACAACATGGTGGTGGCTTGGTTTACACATGGGGAGGCTTGGTTTACAACATGGTGGGCTTGGTTTACAACATGGTGGTGGCTTGGTTTACACATGGTGGTGGCTTGGTTTACAACATGGTGGTGGCTTGGTTTACAACATGGTGGTGGCTTGGTTTACAACATGGTGGAGGCTTGGTTTACAACATGGTGGAGGCTTGGTTTACAACATGGTGGTGGATTGGTCTACAACATGGTGGTGGCTGGTACAACATGGTGGTGGCTTGGTTTACAACATGGTGGTGGCTTGGTTTACAACATGGTGGCTTGGCTTGGTTTACAACATGGTGGTGGCTTGGTTTACAACATGGAGGCTTGGTTTACAACATGGTGGTGGCTTGGTTTACAACATGGTGGTGGCTTGGTTTACAACATGGTGGTGGCTTGGTTTACAACATGGTGGTGGCTTGGTTTACAACATGGTGGTGGCTTGGTTTACAACATGGTGGTGGCTTGGTTTACAACATGGTGGTGGCTTGGTTTACAACATGGTGGTGGCTTGGTTTACAACATGGTGGTGGCTTGGTTTACAACATGGTGGTGGCTTGGTTTACAACATGGTGGTGGCTTGGTTTACAACATGGTGGTGGCTTGGTTTACAACATGGTGGTGGCTTGGTTTACAACATGGTGGTGGCTTGGTTTACAACATGGTGGTGGCTTGGTTTACAACATGGTGGTGGCTTGGTTTACAACATGGTGGTGGCTTGGTTTACAACATGGTGGTGGCTTGGTTTACAACATGGTGGTGGCTTGGTTTACAACGTGGTGGTGGCTTGGTTTACAACGTGGTGGTGGCTTGGTTTACAACATGGTGGTGGCTTGGTTTACAACGTGGTGGTGGCTTGGTTTACAACGTGGTGGTGGCTTGGTTTACAACGTGGTGGTGGCTTGGTTTACAACGTGGTGGTGGCTTGGTTTACAACGTGGTGGTGGCTTGGTTTACAACATGGTGGTGGCTTGGTTTACAACGTGGTGGTGGCTTGGTTTACAACGTGGTGGTGGCTTGGTTTACAACATGGTGGTGGCTTGGTTTACAACGTGGTGGTGGCTTGGTTTACAACGTGGTGGTGGCTTGGTTTACAACGTGGTGGTGGCTTGGTTTACAACGTGGTGGTGGCTTGGTTTACAACGTGGTGGTGGCTTGGTTTACAACATGGTGGTGGCTTGGTTTACAACATGGTGGTGGCTTGGTTTACAACATGGTGGTGGCTTGGTTTACAACATGGTGGTGGCTTGGTTTACAACATGGTGGTGGCTTGGTTTACAACATGGTGGTGGCTTGGTTTACAACATGGTGGTGGCTTGGTTTACAACATGGTGGTGGCTTGGTTTACAACGTGGTGGTGGCTTGGTTTACAACATGGTGGTGGCTTGGTTTACAACATGGTGGTGGCTTGGTTTACAACATGGGTCATGGCTACATGGCTGTTGTCAGTAGGTCACGCAGCGCTGTAGTCATATGGCCGCGTGTTTTCTTCTGGTCATTATTTCCACCCACAAATACACAAGACACATCACTGTGGTAAACATCAACGATAGTTTACCTGGTCCACTCCTCTTTCTCAACAACATCAATGGTCTTCAAATGCCACTGACCATTGTAGTCAACTGTCTTTGCTGAGGACACAACTCATTATCTCCCAAGCTCACCAACTTATTCTAAATGACACAGTGAATACTAAACGAAAAATAGTCCATTTGTGACTGACCGCTAAGAGACTTTCGTAACCTATGTTACCAGCAAGTCAGGTCCAACAATCAAATTAATTTAAAAATTAACAATAGGCAAATTATTAGCGGAGTAGATAGGAAATTCCGTCTTGTTCACATGAACAACAAGCTGGATTTCCATTGCCATATAAAAAATATAACAAAAAAGTTTCTAAAGCAGAAGGCATTCTCTCCAAAATCAGCCACTACGTACCTCTATCAATATCTCGCTTATAATATCTGTGCTCCCTTACTGAAATCTTTACATATGCTAAAAATCCAGTCTGCACATACTCTCAAGTGTGCTCTATATCTATAAAACTCTGAACTGCAATGCCAGGCCTGACTTTAAGCTGTGTCTAGAAGGCGGTAATAGAACTCAGTCACCCCACGAGAAACAAATATCTCTTTGCTATCCCTGGAGCGAGGCCCAAGCAAAGTTAAAATGCAATCCAAATCAAGGGTACCAATTGTGGAATGACCTCCCACGTGTAATTGATTTATTTAATTTTTATTTTATTTATTTATTTATTTATGTACAATAAGTTACATTGGGTTTGTGAGGATACATAGCATGGTATTTACGACCTTGTAAAGCCACTAGTACACGCAGCGTTTCGGGCAGGTCCTTAATCTAACAGATAATTTTAAGTAGGTAAATTCTAGCAGAATTAATAAAATGATAACAGATACATTGCAAGAAAAAAATAAGATGAGAGATATTAGTAGGTATATTAAATCACATTGGTAGCTCTGATTGATTGCATTGACAGCCTGATTGTTATTTAAACAAAGATTAATAGACACCATACAGCAAATTGATAGCACATATAAGAAGACAGCAATGATCACAATGGTAAAGATGTTCAGATTGGGTACATAAGGATTGGAGATTGGGTAGCAATAGATACAGTGTAATTTTAAAGCAACAAGGTAAAAAACTATGGATATGAAATTAGGTACTTTTTAGTTTTGTTTTTAAGTGACACAAAAGTTAGACAGCTTTTCAATTCATTAGGGAGTGAGTTCCATAGACTGGGTCCCTTTATTTGCATAGTGTGTTTACACGGATTAAGTTTGACTCTGGGGATATCAAAGATATATTTATTTCTGGTGTGGTGATAATGGGTCCTATTACGTCTGTCCAGGGAGAGTTTCAGAGCAGGATTTGCATTTAAGAACAGGGTTTTGTAAATGTAGTTGACACAAGAGAATTTGTGGCGTGAGATTATGTTTAGCATGTTTAGGGAGTTAAACAAGGGGGCTGAGTGTTGTCTGAAAGCAGAATTTGTTATTATTCTGATAGCAGATTTTTGCTGGGTGATGATGGACTTAAGGTGGTTTGCAGTGGTTGAACCCCATGCACATATACCATAATTAAGATAGGGATAGATTAGTGCATAATATAGAGAGATGAGAGCAGAGTTAGGTACATAATATCTGATTTTGGAGAGTATACCAACTGTTTTAGAGACTTTCTTAGTTATGTGTTGTATGTGGGTGCTGAAGTTGAGTCTCTTGTCTAGGAATAGGCCGAGAAACTTTCCATCATTTTTATTGCTAATGTTAACAGTGTTATCAATGTTAGCAATGTTAACAATTCATCTGAAGCTGAATTGCATTTGTTGATTTGCTTCCAAATAAGATGTAGTCGGTCTTTTCTATGTTAAGTGTTAGTTTGTTGGTTGACATCCATAAGTGGACTTTTTTTAGTTCATTATTAACAACATTATTTAGTGTATGTGGGTTGGGGTTAGAGTAGATGAGGGTAGTATCATCAGCAAACAAAATAGGTTTCAGAATGTTAGAGACATTAGGCAGATCATTGATGTATATAAGAAATAGAAGAGGTCCCAAGATGCTGCCCTGTGGCACTCCAACGGTTATTGGTAGAGTGGGAGAGGTTATATTATTGATGGCTATACATTGGTGTCTATCACTAAGATTGGATCGGATATAGTCCAGGGCAAGGCCTCGGATTACAGCTGTACGTCTCCCAAACAGTTTACAAAGAGAGATTAAGAACAATCTACTTAACATTTTGTATAATTGAAATTTGTATTTACAAATGCATGCCTTTCATCATCGAGTATGATGTAATTACTGTATAAATTTTTGCTGAATTGCGTAGTCAAGTCATATATGTTGTTTACCTCTGTACCCCTGTACCCCTGTATCCCTGTATCTCTGTATATATTTACATCGTACCCCTCTATCTCTGTACCCCTGTATCTCTGTACCCCTGTATCTCTGTACCCCTGTACCTCTGTCTTGTTCTTTGTCTGCATATTGTTATAAATAATTACAATTTGTTATAATTATTATTGTAAACCATGTTAACATTTACAGGTTGGGGAGATGTACCGTGGGTGGGTGGTGCGCCTGTACACCACCCCACACGCCCATGCCGCCCACCTCTGCCCACTCCTCACTCGCTACGCCCACTTCTACGTTTGTGACGTCACCAACCTGCCACCTCCTCTGGGCAACATATCCGGTGTTCACCCCATGATGTGGCGGGTGGCCCCCCTGGGGGACCCTCAGCTGGCGGCCCTCATGGTCCGGGACACTGACTCTCAGGTATGTCTACTTGCCTCTCAGTACTTGCTCTCACAGCTACTTGAGTACCTCTCAGTACTTGCTCTCACAGCTACTTGAGTACCTCTCAGTGCTTGCTCTCACAGCTACTTGAGTACCTCTTAGTACTTGCTCTCACAGCTACTTGAGTACCTCTCAGTACTTGCTCTCACAGCTACTTGAGTACCTCTCAGTGCTTGCTCTCACAGCTACTTGAGTACCTCTCAGTACTTGCTCTCACAGCTACTTGAGTACCTCTCAGTGCTTGCTCTCACAGCTACTTGAGTACCTCTCAGTACTTGCTCTCACAGCTACTTGAGTACCTCTCAGTACTTGCTCTCACAGCTACTTGAGTACCTCTCAGTGCTTGCTCTCACAGCTACTTGAGTACCTCTCAGTACTTGCTCTCACAGCTACTTGAGTACCTCTCAGTACTTGCTCGGAGAGCTACTTGAGTACCTCTCAGTACTTGCTCTCACAGCTACTTGAGTACCTCTCAGTACTTGCTCTCACAGCTACTTGAGTACCTCTCAGTGCTTGCTCTCACAGCTACTTGAGTACCTCTCAGTACTTGCTCTCACAGCTACTTGAGTACCTCTCAGTACTTGCTCTCACAGCTACTTGAGTACCTCTCAGTGCTTGCTCTCACAGCTACTTGAGTACCTCTCAGTACTTGCTCTCACAGCTACTTGAGTACCTCTCAGTACTTGCTCTCACAGCTACTTGAGTACCTCTTAGTACTTGCTCTCACAGCTACTTGAGTACCTCTCAGTACTTGCTCTCACAGCTCTTGAGTACCTCTCAGTGCTTGCTCTGAGAGCTACTTGAGTACCTCTCAGTACTTGCTCTGAGAGCTCCTTGAGTACCTCTTAGTACTTGCTCTGAGAGCTCCTTGAGTACCTCTTAGTACTTGCTCTGAGAGCTACTTGAGTACCTCTTAGTACTTGCTCTGAGAGCTACTTGAGTACCTCTTAGTACTTGCTCTGAGAGCTACTTGAGTACCTCTTAGTACTTGCTCTGAGAGCTACTTGAGTACCTCTTAGTACTTGCTCTGAGAGCTACTTGAGTACCTCTTAGTACTTGCTCTGAGAGCTACTTGAGTACCTCTTAGTACTTGCTCTGAGAGCTACTTGAGTACCTCTCAGTGCTTGCTCTCACAGCTACTTGAGTACCTCTCAGTACTTGCTCTGAGAGCTACTTGAGTACCTCTCAGTACTTGCTCTGAGAGCTACTTGAGTACCTCTCAGTACTTGCTCTGAGAGCTACTTGAGTACCTCTCAGTACTTGCTCTGAGAGCTACTTGAGTACCTCTTAGTACTTGCTCTGAGAGCTACTTGAGTACCTCTTAGTACTTGCCCTGAGAGCTATTTGAGTACCTCTTAGTACTTGCTCTGAGAGCTACTTGAGTACCTCTTAGTACTTGCTCTGAGAGCTACTTGAGTACCTCTTAGTACTTGCTCTGAGAGCTACTTGAGTACCTCTTAGTACTTGCTCTGAGAGCTACTTGAGTACCTCTTAGTACTTGCTCTGAGAGCTCCTTGAGTACCTCTCAGTACTTGCTCTGAGAGCTACTTGAGTACCTCTCAGTACTTGCTCTGAGAGCTACTTGAGTACCTCTCAGTACTTGCTCTGAGAGCTCCTTGAGTACCTCTCAGTACTTGCTCTGAGAGCTACTTGAGTACCTCTCAGTACTTGCTCTGAGAGCTCCTTGAGTACCTCTCAGTACTTGCTCTGAGAGCTACTTGAGTACCTCTCAGTACTTGCTCTGAGAGCTACTTGAGTACCTCTCAGTACTTGCTCTGAGAGCTACTTGAGTACCTCTCAGTACTTGCTCTGAGAGCTACTTGAGTACCTCTCAGTACTTGCTCTGAGAGCTACTTGAGTACCTCTCAGTACTTGCTCTGAGAGCTACTTGAGTACCTCTCAGTGCTTGCTCTTCTCATATCAACCCAAGTCACCGTGAAGTAATGACGAACTCAACAGTACAACAACAAAAGCAAACCAAGCAAAAAGAGAAAGTGGGATAAACAACACTACACGAACCGTCACCAAATGCACTAAATATACTATGTACAGGTAGTTGTACACAATAAATGTACACAATATATATATACACCACAGATAACACCCTACGTGTCACTTTCACTCTTGACACATCAACAACCTGTGTGGTCTTGTGTCATGGCGCGTCCTCCCTCTACCACAACACTCAAGGCTCCTTCCTTGTGTGCCCTTCTGAGGTACTCACGCCGGCCACACCACATTTCCAGAAATTCACTGGCCAGTCCTCCACAGTATTACCACAGGGGCTAAACAGTCACTCTAGCAGCCCATTGGTGGGCGTTCTCTCAAGGCTTAAGCACAAACCAACCTTAACCTAGAGGACTGACGGACGCTCACTCCATCTTGGAACACAACTTGGCCACCCCGGGATACGTCGTTTCAACACCAGTAACTTGCTGGCAACCAACACACATTTCACTGCCTTCAACGACCAGGCCATTCTTGTTCAGACGGAAACAAGCCTTGCGATCCTGTGGATTGCCCTTGATGGACTCCTGGTGGACTGCTTTCCACCGTCCTAAGTTCCACTCACATCACCTCTGAGGAAAGAAAATCATATAGAACGCTGGGTGACAGACAGGAGGCACTGAACTACAGGCCAGTGTCCCTAATAAGATCTCTGTAACTGCAGCTTTGTCCTTACCTCTCCACTCCACTTGACTTGACTCTGCTTGTTCCCTAATACCTACTGCGACCACTACTTTTTTCTTCTCTGTCAGCAGGTTATTACGTCCTGCTGTTTTGTGAGAAGTGGCTACTTTCATGGCAACTTCCCTTACTGCAGACGTAGCTTCTGGGCTCATTCTAATCATATCTGCAAATGAGGGTTGTACTGTAGAGGTCCCTTCTATAGATACATTACCAGCTTCCTGCGGGATGGTTTGTGGCTGGTACTGAGTAGGATTCTCTTTCAGGCTTTTAATCTGTGCAGCTTTCAGTTCATCCTGTAGGTTGGTTCCTGTCTTCACCATTACCCTCAGTTCTTCTCTCAATTCCCCCCCCCCCGGTCGGCCGTGGAGCCGGTCGGCCGAGCGAACAGCACGCTGGACTTGCGATCCTTTGGTCCTGGGTACGATTCCAGGCGCCGGCGAGAAACAATGGGCAGAGTTTCTTTCACCCTATGCCCCTGTTACCTAGCAGTAAAATAGGTACCTGGGTGTTAGTCAGCTGTCACGGGCTGCTTCCTGGGGGTGGAGGCCTGGTCGAGGACCGGGCCGCGGGGACACTAAAAGCCCCGAAATCATCTCGAGATAACCTCAAGATAACCCCCCCCCCCCCTCTACATGCGAGCGATCGTCTTGTTAATTATGTCACCTTGTCCGTCACCTCCACCTGTATTTTGGTGTTTCCACCAAAATCCCTTCTCCAGTGTTACGTATAGTCCAGTGTGTCTGGACCTAGTATTAACCTAGTTGTGCTTGCGGGGGTTGACCTCTCACCTTTCCCCCCGCCAACCAACTGTTACTAACTACTAACTAATTTTTGTCACACACACACACACACACACACACACACACACACACACACACACACACACACACACACACACACACACACACACACACACACACACACACACACACACACACACACACACACACACACACACACACACACACACACACACACACACACACACACACACACACACATCTCAAGGTTTGGTACACCAATGCTGATGGGGTATCTAATAAAGCAGAAGAGATAAAAGAAAGAGTGAGTGAAGCAGATCCTGACATAGTTGCAATTGTGGAAACTAAAATTAATGACATGATCTCAGATGCAATCTTTCCTGAAGGGTACCAGGTGATACGAAAAGAGAGGACACAGAGACAGGGAGGGGGAGTAGCACTCCTAATAAAGCGGAAATGGAAGTTTGAAGACCTGGGAAATCGAGTTACCAATGAGTGCACAAGCTTCATACATGGAACTCTGACAGTAGATGGGAGGAAGATTGTGATCTTGGTAATCTACAATCCCCCACCAAACAGTAGAAGACCCAGGCAGGAGTATGATGACAACAACAAAGCATGTATAGATGAACTGCAGAAGGCAGCAACACTAGCCCACAGAATGAGAGCGAAGCTGCTGATCATGGGGGACCTAAATCATGGAGAGATAAATTGGGAATCAAGGAATCCCCATGGAGGGGACGAAACGTGGGGAGCAAAATTAGTAGATGTTATAGACAGGAATTTCCTGACACAACATGTGAAGGAAGACACAAGGGAAAGAGGAGGAGATGCACCGAGCCTATTAGACCTGATTTTCACCCAGAACGTAGAAGATATCGAGAATTTAGAGCATGAAATACCTCTAGGGGCCAGTGACCATTGTGTCCTAGTCTTTGACTACATGATGGAATTCAAACTTATGACCATGGGACAAGAGATCTGCGAAAGGAGAGCTGACTACAGGAAAGGGGACTATATGAGGATAAGGGACTATCTGGATGAAGTGCAGTGGGAGGAAGAAATTAGAGGAAAAACAGTCCAAGATATGATGGACCTAGTCATACAGAAATGCCAGGAGGCCGAAGAGAGATTTATACCAACGGTAAAGGGAAAAAATAAGAAGGAATATAATAACCCATGGTTTAATAGACAGTGTCAGGAAGCAAAAATGGCCAGCAGGCGGGAGTGGAGGAAGTACAGAAGACAAAGAACAGAGGACAACAGAAGCAGATACAACAGAGCTAGGAACGATTACATTAACATAAGACGAACATCGGAAAGGGACTATGAGAACGATATTGCAATCAAAGCGAAAAAACAACCTAAGTTACTACACAGTCATATAAGAAGAAAAATGTCGGTGAACGACCAAGTGACAAGACTAAGGAAGACAGAGGGGGCATATACTGAAAGTGACAAGGAAATCTGCGAGGCACTGAATGCCAGTTTCCATGGAGTGTTCACTACCGAGCCTGAGCAGCTCCC